AGAATTCACTCTAAAGCTCCTTTCAAAATATCCCACATATTTCCACAGAGTTTTCTTCCTCACATGTTTAAAAATCTTCTCCCCAGACACCACCTACCTTTGCTTCCTATTATCTATCAATTTCAAATGTGGGGTCCATGTGAACCTTAATATCCTTCTATGTATAATTTATTTTCAATTAATCAATTTTTCAAATTTCCCCTTCTTGAGTTTTCTACTTTGTCCAAATGGATCTACACTTGTTACTCTTAGGTTCCAACAGAGCAAGTAACCCAGTATTAATCCCAGAGGAAATCCTAGAAGGTGTTACTATACTCATGGTTTTATTGGCACTGAGGATGGGAAATGGTGTCAATGGACAGCAGGATGATTACAGTAAGAGCAAGGTATACTAAATCAACCTTGTTTCTTTCTTTCTTTTTCTGTCGTTGTTGAAAATATACACAGCAAAACATATACCAATTCAACTGTTTCTACATATACAGTGAGTGACACTGATTACATTCTTCCAGTTGTGCAACCATTCTCACCTTCCTTTTCTGAGTTGTTCCTCCCCCATTAACAAACTCACTGCCCTCTAAGGTTCCTATCTAATCTTTCAAGTTGCTGCTGTCACTTTGATCCCATATAGATAGTTCTTAAAAGAGCATAATACTCAAGGCAGACATTTTTTACTAGCTAAGCTAAATATTGTTTGGTTTTAAGATGACTTCAGGGAACAATGTTGGTTTAAGTTTTAAAGATTATCTCAGGGCAATAGTTTCAGGGGTTCATCTAGCCTCCATAGCTTCAGGAAAGTCTAGAGTCCATGAAAATTTGAAATTCTGTTCTGTATTTCCTTCCTTTTGATCAGGATTCTTCTATAGAATCTTTGATCAAAATGTTCAGTAATGGTAGCTGGGCACCATCCAGTTCTTCTGGTCTCATAGCAAAGGAGGCAGTTGTTCATGGAGGCAATTAGTCACATACTCCATATTCTCCCCCTTTTCCTGACTCTCCTTCCTCAGTTGCTCCATTTATTTATTTATTTATTTATTTTGATAGAATCACAACCTTATCAGGGTAAGGATTTCAGCAGGTGTCTGAAAGTGTCTTACGATATCCTTGTAGACAAGACTGACAGAGGTGAGCTAGATGATAATATAATTCAATCATTAATGGACGGTTGAATAACTGTACCCAAAGAGTCTTGGGTAATGTAGAAGTCAACTTGCAAAGAAGGTTCTACAGTCACACTGCAGGGCTTTCTATCTGCTACTGATCTCTTCTACATTTTTTTTTTTTTACCAAAGATGTAAATAAATAGCTAAAAGCAAATCTTATCAAATTTGCCAACTGAAATAGGTAGAAAGGGTAGTTAATACACTGAATGGCAGAAGAAAAAAAAAGACTTAAAAATCCTAGAAAACCTGTAATTTCAGGCTGATATAAAGAAAATAAAATTAATACAGATAAACATGAATTCTTTCATTTATGTTTTAAAAACTTGCTTACAAAATGACAAAATGAGTGAGACCTGGATTAACACACGTTTACATTTTTTAAGGATTTTGACTGACTGCAGTTCTTATCTGAGCCAGAGCATCATGTGAATGCTAGACAACAGTATTATTTATTTTAGGGTGTATTTTCATAGAAACACAGCATCTGGAGCCAAGAGTAAATATTTTATTCTACCCTGAACTTATTAAACTACAGTTCAAGAAGGCAGCTTAATTTTGGGAGCCATATATAATTAGAGAAAATGAACAATCCAGAGGCTACGCGAAGCAACGTGACCAGAAGGGAAAGTATTTGGAAACCAGGATCAATAAGAAACAAGTTGAAAGAAATAGGGTTATCTTAGAAAAGACATGTTTACAGAAGTAACAAAATAACTGTGCTCCTAAGCTGTACTTTAACAAGCTCCCAGGTGGAAGAGAGACCAGGTCCAACAGGTGCAAATTAGAGGACAGCTGAATTCAATTCAGTGTACAGAAGAGTTTTCAAACATTACATTGGCCCCAAAATGGAATGTTTCCTTCTGTAACAGGGAGATGCCTCCTCCTGGAAGTTTTCCCTTTGGAGTGTGAAACAGATAGAGATTCTTGCATTTTGTAGGAGGTTGGCTTGAGAAAAGAGAGACAACAGCTAGCCGACCTGCCTTCCATCCCACAAATCAACACCCATGTCCACAGTGAGCATAGGCGGTGCATGTGGACAGATGGCGACACTGGAAGATGACCCGCTAAGTGACAGGAGAGTTTCACAAGTGTGGTACAGATTGACCAAGGTTGTAAACACTGTTTTCATATACTGTGGTTGTCTGAAATGCTGGGATTTGCTAACAAGGTTGTGCCATTATGAAATGAATTCATCTGCCACCAAGAATGTTAAGCCAAGTGGATTGTTCTCTAACAGTTTCTCAGTGCCTTGCATATGCATCTGAAGCATTCTTTGATTATTAAAGAATTCAAAACATGATGGTAAGATGTTGAAAGTCAGACAGGGAAAGGCAGTCCTGATTTATGCCACCAGTGGCTCTGTCTTTTTCATGTTAAAATCAATTGCCCAAAGGAGCAAGGAAAGAACCTTTCAATCTTTCAATTACATTCTTAGATCTCATAGCATTTTACAGTCATATCCAGAGCAGGAAAGACTGGCAAAAGATGTGACCCTTTTGATTGAAGAAAAGATCATGGCTTTACTCTGTTTTTCTTAAAAAGTATTCATAACTTCAGCTATGTGAAATGGAGCAACTTCACATCAATTTGCCATTGCAGTTTACAAAATTAAATCTGTCATATAATTGATTTTAAATAAAACATCTGATATTTCTTAAACATAACTAAGGAAAAAAGGTATATGATATCTTTTTTAAAGTTCCACCTTCTGTAAAATTTGGTCAATAGTAAAGACAAATGCAAAGATACAGCAGAATGGGCTAAATTCAATTTCAAGGTCACTAAAAACATCTTGAGAGGTCCTTGGGTGGTACAAATGGTTAACATGCTCACTATTAACAAAAAGGTTGGAGGTTCAAGTCCACCCAGACATGCCTCAGAAGAAAGGCCAGGCAACCTACTTCCAAAAAATCAGTCACTGAAAACTCTATGGAGGACAATTCTATTCTGACACATGTGGGGTCTCCATGAGTTGGAATCAACAAGATGGCAACTGGTTTTTTGTTAAACATGTTGATCCCTCATGGCACAGTGGTTAAGCATTCGGCTGCTAACAAAAGGTTGGCAGTTCAAATCCACCAGCCGCTCCTTGGAAACCCTACGGGGGAGTTCTACTCTGTCCTACAGGGTCACTATCAGTCAGAAACGACTCGACGGCAGCGGGTTTGGTTTTTTTTGTTGATCATTTGAAAATAGTAACTTTGTATGAACTTGGAGAACACCAAGTTAGAAAAAGAATGCAATTAAAACTGTAGGATAGTTATTAAGGCAAATAATTTTTAATACTATTAACATTTTGTTATATAGAAATGCTAGCACTAATTACAATGGAGCTTTAAGTTATTCATTAAGATAGTGATTAGCACTTAGTTGATGTTAAAGGGGATAGTTTTAGACACTCTTAAAATGTTAGAGCCAGAAATACAGTAAAAGTAATTTAGACTATTTATTAATTTTCAGATTTGGAAACTGAGGCCCAGAGAGGTAAGGTCCTCCTAGCCCAAGCCCATGCAACTAGTTATCTACTGAGAAAGGAGGTCTAGAACCAGGTCTTGCAGTTCATTGTCAAATGCTCTTAATAACTAGGTCTTTGAACTGGTTTGAATCCCTGCTGAGAATCTGCATTTCTAACAATTTCCCAGGAAGTTATACATAAGAATCACCTGGGGACCTTGTTAAAACTATAGCTTCTGATACAGTATATCTAGGGTGGAAATGCAAATTCTCATCAGAGAACTTGTTAGAAATGCAAATTCTCAGCAGGGGTTTGAAACAGAATGCATCGGTACTAAGCCCTGTTAATAACATACCACAGAGTCATTGAAACAGAAGATGAAGTCCAGAGATACTGTATTAAACACCTGGTTTATACAGTATGAAGTGGGTATACAAGGAGTGGGTTTACAAAGTCATCACTTGTCTTAAAGAATCTTGTATTATTAGCAAGGAAGATAAGTCAACACAAGGTTTAAATCATAGTTTGAGATAATAATCCAAGAAATAAAATTACATGGTTAGTTTGCGTGTTGATGTGTGTACCAATAAATGTTAGGCGCTCAGAGGACAGAAAACCTGCCATGAGATGGGGAAGTGGAAGAATGTCAGGGGAGGGAGTGGAATCTGAACTGGATCCTGAAGAATGAATTGGATTTAGAAGGAGAGAAAGAAAAGATGGCATTACAAGAAGATGGAACTGTATGAATAGATATCAATTGTATTCATGACTGTAAAGAGCACCCCAAAATTAAAATACTGTGTTATCACTGATACTAGATAAAAGATACTGTCTAGGGTGATTTTCATTAAGAAAAGCAATTACTTGTTTATTTTCTTGTCTGGGTGAATTGGGAAAAAAGATATGAACTGGGAACTATTAATGCAATGCTTTATTTAATTACTTACTGATTTATATCTCATTATTCAACAAATAAATTGAGGCAGCTTTCAAAAATATAGAACATAAATTGAACAAATTATTAAGAAAAATGGTAAACCCAGCAGTAAGAGCAGCAGCATACACAGAAAAGCAGACTGAATAGTCAGGACGGTTGTTAGCCAGTGAGGGGACAGAGTTGACCAAAACCTTTCTAGTAAGTGAAAGATTTTGTGTCCATTAGATTAAAACAAAACTTGTAATTCAAGAGAAGCCCAATATTTCTTAATACTGAAACATGAGGGAAATTTCTCCTCTGAGTCTTCATAAAGAAGTTGCTGAATAATGTTGTGGATGATGGCCTCAATGACATCCTTGACCCTATGGTTATAACGAATAATTTCACAGGGCTATTTCTTATATATATATGAAAAAATTGTGTGCAATTGAATGGAAACAATTACCTGCTCTGCCAGTAACGAAGCTAAGCTTGAATAAGCATCTGCAAACTCTGGACCATATTTAATGGAATTCTTCAGTAAGAGGATGGCTTCTTCTTTTTTCTCCTGGGACCTACAGATTATGAGGGGAGAAAAAAGGAACACCTTTTAATAATAAAAAAAGAAACCAAACCCATTGCCATACATAATTTATGAAATTAGAGAACAGGTGACCACAAGCTAGCAAAGAAATTCAGCTATTTTATCACCATATTTTAATTGAAAATGGTGCAAGTTTTGGCTTCTTCATTTAAGTCTTCTCTCAGTGATTATACTTCTGGCTTAAAGAAGACCCAAGTCTCAAAAGTTATTACCATTTTCTTGGGTGAAAGTTCCTCTTCCTGTTAGTGCCATGGGGAGAAATTGAGCCATTATCCCGTTATCAATGTCTCTAAAGTCAAAAATATGCACTAGTTACTCGGCACAGCAAACAATTTTGCTACTAATACAATTCCACACTGGTCATGTGCTAAGCGCTAGGCACTGATTGGCAAAAGCGGTGTAAAAAAAGAATAGAACCCCTTGGACTACAGATAGCCTAAGACCCCTCCCCTGTCTTTACCAGTTACCAGTATTGAGTTGTGTGCTTATGTTTTTACTATTTAGAGTCAACAAACATTTATTTAGCAACGACTGTAGAGTCACTCTGAATCGGAAGCAACTTGTCAGCATCTAACAACAAGGTTCCATATGCTCTTGTAAGTTTTCCTACAACACTATTAATTCTCACAACAATCCCATGCAGTAAATATTATTGTACCTATTGTTATATTCAGTTTTCTGATGAGGAAATTTGGATTCAGAAAAGTTAAATGTCTTGTCTGTGGTCTCATAACCAGTCTTCTGAGCTCCTCCATCACACTGTATCTGCTTATTTTCTTTGGCTACTTAGAAAATCCACCACTTCCTCTATGAAGTTGCTGCTCAAAGGGCTGCATGGACCAGCATCACCTGAGGGCTTGTTAGAAATGCAGAATCTCAGCCTCCCGACCTACTGAATCAGATCCTGCAGTTTAAAAAGATCTCCAGGTGACTGTATTCACACTGAGATTTTTAACTGCTCTATGAATTATCAAAGGCAGCTGAACACAACCTCCTGCTAGAATCCCCTTACAGCTCCAGTCTCTATAGGATGAAATTATGTAGAGGATGTAAATTTTAGTCTTCAGTGCCAGAAGCAGCTTGTTACAAGGTGATTTCATCCTGAAGACAGTTTCCTATCATAGACTTTGGGGGGGGGGGAGTCATAGTTCCATTCCAAAGCAGACCTTGCACTTAATGATTCAATATAGCAATCATTTATCATTGTCTATTATACGCCAACCTGTAGCTGTTGAGTAGATTTGGACTTCATAGTGACCCTGGTGGTGCAGTGGTTAAGAGCTCAGCTGCTAACCAAAAGGTTGGCAGTTCCAATTCACCAGCTGCTCCTTGGAAACCCTATGGGGCAGTTCTTCTCTGTCCTATACGGTAGCTATGAGTTAGAATCAACTTGAAGGCAACGAATTTGGTTTTTGGTTTATTACATGCCAAGCACTGAGCAACTTCCCAAGGGAGGTGGCTGTCCATGCTATCCTCTACTATTGGGGTCTATCTAACTCCTCTTGATGCACAGTTCTGTCTAGAAGACAAGGTGTAACACCAGTGTCCCTAAGTAGATTGTCCCTGGGATGGGGTTTTAAAGGCACATGGTTATAATAAATTCATTTGAAGCTCTCTTAATGCTGCTTTCTTGCTGATTCATTTAGTCAACAAACATTTAAAGAATGTCTGCAAGATGCAAGACTCCTATAGGAGTCCGCTAAGTTTACATACACTCAGGTTTTTATTCTTAAATACACCTTGAAGTAATTCTTCCATGGGTACATATTTTTTAAATGATGATTTATTTCTTTAATCTGGTAATTTTACTATTGATTTTATGGTAAGCAGAACTCTTCCTCCAAGGATATTGTAGGTCTTTACTAACATTAACTTGGAAATCCTCCCAAAGGCCAAAGGACATAGGAAATTAATCTGAAAAGTAAGTCCCTCAGGACATAATTTAACTAAGATGTTCTTCAAAATCAGCAGGGGGAAAAAACACAATTTGATAGTGAAGATTTAATGGTTTTCATTTGCCATGGCTCACATCAGTTAGAATGGCAACTTAGACCTTTTATATATGAACTCAGCGAGATTAATTACCAGTTAATACAGTCTGTGAATTTAAATACTTGAGGTCCCCCATTAACATTCATATGACACCCTGGAAAAGTTATCATCAAAGTTATTCACAGGGAACTTGGATTCTTCATGAAAAACTGTATCTCTAAACAATCCCCGAGGCACTGGCATACGAAGAAAAACATCTCATTGTGTCATTTAGTTGAAGATACGAGTATTACAAGATGCAAAGACTCAGGCACGCGGACATTGTGTCTTGGCTCTGTACTTTTACATTATTCTGCTTTTGTTTCGGAGCCATTGATAGTCATTAGGAACCAAGGGGTTGGGTTAACAGATATCACATGCCATCTTATAATATCTTGGAAGATATTTAAAAATATTTTTGAAGAAAGACCAAGAAGTAGATAATCTTATTGTTAGTGGTGGCTTCATTTCTGAAAGGGAGAGGAACAGTAGATATTTCTTCTGTAGTCTCTCTTTTGCTCTCCCTTTGGTGGTAGTGTTGTGTGCTGTCAAGTGGATTCTGACTCATAGTGACCCTATACGACAGAGTAGAAGTGCTCTGTGGTGTTTCCTAGGCTGTAATCTTTATGGGAGCAGATCGCCAGGTCTTTTCTCCTAAGGAACTGCTGGGTAGGTTCGAACTGCTGACTTTTCAGTTAGCAGCCAGGCGCTTAACCATTGTACCCCCAGGGCTGGGCTCCTTACCCTTCGGTGGGAGCTTATGAAATAGGTGTGGTTTTGACACAATAATTTATAGCAGATAATTCATTTAAAACCTTCCTTGGTTACACAGTAATGTAATTACCATGTGGGAATTGAACTCCATTTCAAACTGCTTCTGATTTCAGTAGCATTCCTCTTTGTACCCACATTATGGCAGATGTTCCTCTCCTAAATTATCCCAGGTTGCAAAACAAGGCCAACAGCCCTACGACTCCATTGGATTATTGCAGTACAGAGTACACCTTACCCAGTTTTGCTTGCTAACATTTTATTTTTTTTTATTTCTTTTTTTTTTTTTATTGTACTTCAGGTGAAGGCTTACAGAACAAATAGTTTCTCATGAAACAGTAGTACACATATTGTTTTATGACATTGGTTAACAACCCCACAACATGTCAATCCTCTAACTTCTCAACCTTTTTTTTTGGTGAAAATACACATAGCCAAAGATTGCTTGCTAACATTTTAGTTCACACACTTGTTGCTAGTTCCCTCTTTCTTCCTCTTCTGCTACATACAATTGAGACATAAATTTTTCTAGAGCACTGTTTTCAACACATTATTCCCCTGGATGAAAATTTTTATTAATATTGTACTGCCTACAGATACCCTCTTAGTCTAAAACCATATGGTTCTGACCAATGTTCCAAATATACTAAGGTATCCATGATGCCATCCAGACTGGTTGACCTTTGGCCTCATCTGCAGAACCTAAGAGATCACCTACTTTATAACACAAAAATATGGTTTTACTACTTTGTGTATTTTTAGATGTTTGTAAATCTCCTTAAATATGTTTTCCAATTACTTAGTAAAATTTGGGGGGAAGAGGACAATATAATTACATTTCATATCTGTTTTTCTACAGCTCTTTCAATATTATAGAAGTAATCCTAAGGAAGACAGAATTATTCCAAGCCTAACTTGGAATCATAAGAAAATAACAAGTACAGCCGCCATTTAATGAGCATGTATTATTTACCAGGTCCTGCTAAGCAGCTTATCTACCTTAACTTTGCATAGTAGTCAAAAGTACTGACTCAACTCCAGAAAAACTGGGGTTCAAGTTCTACCTTACACTAGCTGTGTTTTCCTTAGGCAAACTATCTGACCTTTCTGTGTCTCAGGCACACAGTAGGTACTATATATGTTTCGACTTTTAATAGCTCATTTAATTTTTTTTTAAATGACCCATTTAAACCACTCTCCCCCTTTCTTCTTTTAATTAATTATAAAATCCAGGAGAATGTGGTGCTTCTGAATTTCCCTCCAAAGTAATATCCTTCCACATTTCAAACTATTCACAAAAAAATTTAGGTTAGACCTAAGAATGATTTTTCCTTATGTCTGATACCATGACTGATTTTTAATGTAACAGCTGCCATTAAATACATAATACTAGTGCTGTGGTAAATGTAAAATAACCGCTGTAACAGAGTCACTAGTCCTGGAAATCTCATTCTATGGCAAACACTAAGGTGAGCAAACCCAAATGGCAGGTCAATAGTTCAGAATCCACTCAGCTGACATTAAGGTCAAGCAAAGGAGGGGATGTGCATTTTGTGGAGTGATGACTAAAGGTGAATATTTAGGTAAGAAAGAACCAGTTAAACCAGGAAAGCGTCTTAGAAAAGTAATGTTTTAGCAGTTATTTACATCTATAAAGGCGGTGGGTATAACAAGAGATGCAGAAAACATTTCAAATAAGACATTATGAAATTTCTTAACAATATAAATGACCTAGGTAACCTGACTGTAATACAGACCACCCCCGAGCCAACATTAGACAATATTAAAACTTCCTAATGAGCTCATTCTGGTTCTATTAGTAAGTAATTTAGGGAACCAGAGGCCCATTGTTGATCTAAGCCTCATCTCTATAGGACTATCCTGTCAACCATTTAGGCTGAATTGACAGGCCAACTCAGAGGGGGAAAAATAACATTAAAATAAGATTTTTCTCTGAACTGACCAAGCATGTGATACAGGTTACCAAGTCCTCAAGTTATTTATCTAAATGATATGGAAAAAGTCTGAATTCACTAGCCCAAAAGTGATGAATAAACCAAACCAAACTCTTTGCCATCCAGTTGATTCAGACTCGTAGCGACCCTATAGGACAGAGTAGAACTGCCTCAGGGTTTCCGAAGAGTGGCTGGTGGATTCGAACTGCCAACC